CGCACGGCGAGGCGCACGGCGAGGCGCACGGCGCCGCCGCTGCTTGCCATGCCTCTGCGGTTGCGGGTGCGGATGACGTCGGAGATGGATGGCCGCGGCAGGGCAGCCTAGAGTGCCTAGAGCACACCAGGCCGGCACCGGCACCGGCCGCCTGAGGTTACCCCCATTCTCACCGGCATGTTAAAAAACGCAAGTCGAGGGGATAATATCGGAGCGTTTCTAGCGAAGCGAGTGCGCCGCGCGTCGTACGCACGCGTGGGCAAAGCGGACAAAAGGATTCTCCGGGTCAACCGCAGGCATACGTCAAACAGATTCATTCACATCTCGTGAACTCACCTTGGTTTTTGGTCGCACTGCCTCCAGCTGGCTGTCGCAGACGACGCCGTCCTCGTCACCGCTGAGTGTCGAGCAGGTCGAGCAGTACGACGACTTCCTGGAGCCGGTGCAGCGCAGCGCGTAGTCGGCGTCCAGCTGCTGCAGGTTGGAGCACGAGGACGCGCGGGACACGTCCGTCGAGGACAAGTCCCCCGTCTCCATGCCGGCCGCGACGCGCGCCGCGTACTGCGAGCGGAACTGTTCGATCTCGTCGAGCGTGACGGCGTTGCCGGCGAACGAGGACAGGTCGTCCGAGTAATCGCTGACGACGACGGAGGGCGTCCTCCAGTACCGGTACGGGGGGTGCGAGTCGTCCTCGAGGGCGCCCGTGCTCTGCGTGGACGCGCGCCGCAGCGCGGACACGGACACCCCCGAGTCGTACGAGTCGAACGAAAACACTTTGACGCGGCGACCGCGCTCGTCGCAACCGTCCGCCACCAGGGCCTCCACCTCGGCGTCCTCGTCCACACCGGCGCCCTGGTGTTCGGTAAAGCGTGACCACCGCACATCGTCTAGGCTAAGGCCCTTCAGTCCCGCGAGGCACAGCTGGTTGAGGTTGTTGGTGGACCGCCAGGTGTCGTCGAAGGCGCCGTCGTCCGCCACGGCCTTGGCGGCGGCCGGCCTCTTGTCGCCCTGACACGACGCGTCGCTGCCCGCGGGGATGTCGTCGTCCACGTCGTCCGCTGCGTCGTCCACGCTGCACTTGCGGCTGCAGACGCCGTGCACCGGCCAGGCCTGCGCGCCGTCATCCTCGCTGTCATTGTCCTGCTCCGGCAGCGCGATGGCCGAGTCCGAGCTGCAGCAGCGCTCTCTGCTGTCCGCCTTGTCCTGCTTTTCCGGCCATCGCCACGCCTCCTCCTCGCTGGTCGGGCTCGGGCTCGGACTACTCGTGGGCGAGCATCGCGGAGAGCACCGCGGCGAGCAGCCCTCGTCGGACGCCGTGCTGCCCGGTGCGGTGAGGCTCTTGGTGACGCCGGCCGGCCAGGATGCCGTCAAGGGGGGCGCCAGCGAGCTAGGCATCTCCAGCTTCTCGTCCAGCATCGCCACCACGCCTACACGTCGCCGCCGGTCCGACCCGCTGGAGCCGTTGGAGCCGTTGGAGCCGCTGCTGCTGGAGGAGACACGCCGGCTGGCCGAGTCATCCTCTAGGGGCTGCTCGGGGCCGGTCGGCGGGCGCGGCGCGGGGCGCGGCGGGTCCTCCTGGAGCACTGCGTTGTCCTGGGGTGCGGTCTGCTGCGGGGCGTCACGGCATCCTCCTCGCGCGGTGCCAGACTGGCGGGGCGGGGCGCGCGGCGGCCGCTGCGGCGGGCGCGGGGGCCGCGCGGGCGGGGCGGG